GAAGGTTTCCGAATGCTTCCTTTGTCTTCTTGCTCTAACTGGTATCTGCCTCCTGAGGGCAGGGCTTCCTGTCCTCCCAAGTGGTGGCTGGTTTTTCTTGTGTCTTGAGTACCCCAGGGTCCAGAGAAACAGAATATCTTTCTTGCTCCCCTTGCTGCTTTTAGACCAGTAGAAAGGGGCAAATAATTCAAACAAGTTGTTCATATAAGAGAAACCATGAATAGTGAATGAACTGACCACTTTGGAGAGCCATTTGTCAATATGCAGAATAATTCAAGATGCACAGTCTTATAATTCAGCAATTTCACTTATAGGAATTTGTACTTTCTAAAGCAGCGAAAGTCAAAGTGGGGGTCCCCAGGGTCCTTTCAGGGAATTTATAAAGTGAACGCTTTTTAAACAGTAATATTAAGACATTATTTGCCTTTTAAAATCCCATTCTCTCACTCGTATACAGTAGAGTTTTCCAAAAGCTACATGGCATCTGATTATTCAACAGATTGAAATCAGAAACATAAATGAGAATCTGGCTGCCTTCTGTTAAGCCAGACATTAAAGAGATTTGCAAAAATGTAAAACAGTGCCATTCTCCTCACTAACTTATTCTTGTTTCAGAAAATATAGTTTTTTTTCCCATAAAAACATGCTATTTATGTCAACATGTAATGGATTGTGATTTTTAATGAATTAATAAATATTTAAAAAATGTATTAGTTTAAATCTCTAAGACAGTAAATACTGATAGATATAACTCACATAAATAAAACCTCTTTGGGATCCTTCAGTAATTTTTGTTTGTACTAAGATCTAATAGTTTTGAAAATCAGTGCACAGTACAAGTATTCATTTATTTATAATACGTAGTAAAACATTGCAATCAACCCAAATGCTCATCAATATGGATACACTATCAATTTTATCAATATGGAATGATAAAGTATTGATATCTTTATACACACGTACATACATATATACACATATTCATACATAATTATACATGAATCAGTATATATTTGTTCCTTACCTCATATGTCAAATAAAATGATTTTTTTGAGAATGTAAGTATAGTTCTAAATACTTAATAAAATTAAGTGCAAACTTTATTAAGAATTAGATATTAATTCATATTATTTCAGATCTGTTGACCTTAACTTTAAAAGGCAGAAATAAAAGTGACAACATAAGCTGCTCCATTTGACTAGAACATAAGATTAACAGCATCCGTTGGACTTAGTATGCTAGGATATAGAACAACTTCAGTATTTTATTTATCGAGCATTGTACTGTGTGTTTGTTGACAAGGAGGAAACAGCATTTTGTTATATTTTTGTTTTATACTTTTATATGCTGTGTGATATTTATACTAGGAATACTTACATTTTTTAAAGGGTATCTGATTTCAGTCCTTAGAGAGAAATTAGATTTTTTCTTCTTCCTCATTTTTTATAAATTTTCGCTTTCGAGAAGATTTAGGGAAATGGAATCCATCTCCTTGACTTATCAGAGTTGTGTTATCAGACTAGGCCGAAGAGGTTTCTTGCTTAGAAACGCAGATGTTGTTGCTAGAACAAATCCCTCTTCAGCAGTTCATTTTAGTCACAGCTTTCTTCAGTCCACTCATGTGTGTTCTGCCTAAAAAACACCTGGAAGTCACTAATTTTCAATTGTTAGCCGTTAGAGTGACCTACATCACACGATGTCCACTTTCGTAGAGACATATTATATAATGAGGGAAGTATAAATCTGTGCTCTTGTAAAAACATTAGATTTTCTCACTTATAATAGACGTTATTTTGCATAAAGCAAACAGAATGTTAGGAGTCATATTGCCTTTTAATATTCTTGAAGATGTAAGTCTTCTCTGATTTTAATTTCTACAGATGAAACTTTCATAAACGTTTTTAACTTCTCGAATCAGACCACTTTGAAGTTAATCATTCTGATCAAATTAAAAATAATAATAGAAACTACAAAGAATATAGATTAAGCAGTAAAACAATTCTGATGCTAGTCAAAATTTGAAATTAGAGCCAAGAATTACGAGTGCCATTTATTAAACGGTACTAGTGAATTGTCTGTGTACCTGGGTAGAGACGACCAGGTTTGGGACCAATGTGGATTTTGCTGTTTGAGTGGCTAAAGAAGAGGTAATACTCAGCAGCCTCAGTTTTAAGTCTGTGCTCGATGCTTTGTTCGACACTGTGTTAGCAGGCACTTTACATAGATTATCTCATACAGTCCACCCAACGGGTTTATGAGTAGTCACTTACTCCCGTTTCACAGAGGAGGAAATTAGGCTAAGAGAGGTTACGAGGTTACACTGCAGGTAGAGAGTGGGCTTCGTGTTTCAGTCCATTGGGGCTGCCATAACAAAAGGTCACAGACCAGGTAGCTTGTAAACCACAGTTCATTCCTCACAGTTTGCAAGGTGAGTAGTCCATGGCCAAGTACCAGCATAGTCACATTCTGGTGGCATCCCTCCTCCTGGTCTTGCTGTGAACTCGTGTGGTGGGAGGGGCTCCTGAGCTCTGCAGGGTCTCTTTTAAGAACACTAATCTCATTGCATGAAGGTTCCACGCTCATGACTAAGCACCTCCCAAAGGCCTCACCTCTTAATACTATCACCTTTAGGGGTTAGGATTTCAACATGCAAATTTGGGGGGATACATGCACACCGTAGCTCTTGGACTGCAGATTTAGAACTCCAAACTGCTAAAACATCTTCCCTCTTAGGTATGGGGACTTCCTTTTTGCCTAGAACAGCCCTACCATCCTCTCCTATGCTTTCTTTATTTATCAGAAAGTGACTTTTCCTTCTTCTGAACTTGGGTTTTATAGTCTGTGTCACTTCTCTCCAGCCAAAGTTTTATATTGTAGCTCATTCTGCCAGTGTGTGTGTTGCTCTGCCCTCTTCTGTTGTGAGCTCCCATGTGAAAAAAAAAAAAAGAGAAGAGTACGTGAATACGCATTCATATAACAGGTGCAAGGGTCTGTGTATTGCATGAAATCAAGTGAATTATAGAGCTTCTTATTCTTTATCTGCTTGGTCTATGAATTTGTGAAAAAGCCTTTATATCTTTTATAGTAATAGTTAATACTTATATGGCACCTACTGTATTCCAGGCACTATTTTGAGGGCCTTACATGTATTAACTTATTGTGTATTGGTCATTTTTTTCCTTAGACCTGTTACTTGCAATTTATCTATTTTGAGACTGGGTGCATTTTTTACTAGGTACCTAACACGTGGTGATTGGAGTCTTTTATCATTACTTATTGACCTTTATCTCTAATTACATCTTTAAACTTAAAGCCTTTTTTTATTCTTCTGATATCGATATAGTTATACAGACTTTTTTTTCGAATTATTTGGCTCATATATTCTTTTCATTTTTATATCCTTTTTTCTTTTGCTTTTTATCCAGTTTTATCTAAGAGTGGTGGTACAGTATAATGGTTAAAAAGCAAGAACTGCAGGGCTAGATTGCTTGGGTTTGAGTTGTTGCCTGGGGTGTTTATATCTGGCAGTTACAATTCTATACTTGGAGGTAGGAGGCATTTTGACTTTGCTTTATTTAAGCTTTTAACCTCTTCCCATGCTTTATGCCCAATATCTTATCCTGCTCTCCCAGGAGTGAGGTACCTGGTATATTTAAGTTCTGATTCTCTATAAAATTCTGTTCTTACCCTTTCAGTATCACCTGCCATGTGCGCTTTCTGGTGTGTTTCCTTAGTCAGTTTGCACTATTCCATCTACTTTTCTTTGTCTTTTGAAAATGTATTGAAGTATCTCCAAAAGTGGGTATATAAGACTGCTTACTTATAGGGCTGTTTGAAGTTGAGTGTGAGTAAATAGACGTAAGCAACTTGGAATAGTACCTGGCACATCGGAAATGCTTAGAAAGATTTTTCTTGTTTTGTCATTGATGTTCTGAAGATATTCACCGTCCTGTTTATTGTTACTATTAATTTGTCATCAGATTTATTTTTATTTTATAATTCAAGTTTTTCTCCAGTTCTGCATTTTTCTTATTCGAGCGATTTGGAGAAACATAACTTTGGAGCATCCCAATTCAGCATGCCTGAAGTAGTATTTGATTTTAATGGAATTTAAATATCATTTCTCATAATTAAATTATATGATAAGTTAACACTTATAAAATTTTGTATTTGAAGGTTATAGGATACTTTCAGCTAGTTGATGAACTGGATTCTGAATTTCATATCAAAAGGTTTAAATCCCAATGAAGTGTTTTTTTTTTTTTTGTCTTAATGGGAATTTTTGTATTTTAAATAAATTTATGCAAAAAAGAACATTAGTGGTGGTAATGGTTGTACAGTATGTGAACGTATTTAATGCCACTTGTTAAAAAACGAAATTCAACGGAATAAATTTGAAGATATTATTGCCTTTATTCAATGATTCATGAACTGGCAGCATCCAATCTAGTAGATAGAAAGGAGCTCCAAGGAGCTATAAAATCAAAGACTTTTCTAGGCAGAAGGAAACAGGAACAAGGAAGCTGTGGTAGGTGGAAAAGTAGGTTCGTTATTGCAGGTCACTTTCCTTTGGTGATGGCTGGGGTCTGTCATGCAGATTACCCAACAAGTACTGATCACACAATTTCTAATGGACATTAGAAATTGGAATAGCTGAAACTGTAATTACGTCTTCGTTTGATGATGTGGAGCTTAGCATAAATGACTTCATTTTGGCCCTTGAATTGTGTTTTTAACACACCGATCTGTACACTTAAAAATGGTTAAAGTGGTAAATTTTATGTTATGTATATTTCATCACAATTAAAAAACAGACATTAGTTATTATGTACATGTCTCACGTTGAAGGTAAAGAATGTTCATCAGTATTAAATCTAGTCTTACAGGACCATACAGATGGAGTGAGCAGAACATGTTGGCATCAATATGTTGATTTGTGTTTTTGTTTTTCAATCATATATGGTTCTCATTTCATAATGTGAAATTTATTTTTTTAACAGAAAGGAAAAGCTGATGCGATGCTCTCAGTGCCGAGTTGCCAAATACTGCAGTGCTAAGTGCCAGGTAAGAATGTTCAGCTGTACATAGTGACTCCCTCAGGTTCTCTGATGCTTAGATTTGTCCTCCATTATGCCTGTTGACGTACTTCCATTTCTACACCATCTTTGATTTATTTTAACTTACCTTCAGTTTTGAAATAATACATGTGTATGGTAAAAAAATACAAATACATATTTAATATATGTAAAGTTATATGTATATATTTTATATATCACAAAAGAAAAGTAAATGTTTACTCTTCTCCATGTTCTTGTCCTCCTGACCTCAATCCTATTTCCCAGATTTCTTAAAACCCCTGATTTCTTGTGTGTTTTCACAGCATTTTCTATTTTCTTGTGCAAACATATTCATATGTCTATATCCTTTGTTTAAAAAAAAATATACAGATTATTTTGGCACAAATTCTTGTATACTTTTGTTTTTCACTTAATAATCTATCTAGAGGAATTTTTTGTATCATCCCTCTTATTCCATTATATGAATGCACCACAATCATACTTTCCCTGGTAGTGAATGCTTCAGTATTTTCCAATATTTCATATTGCCATTAATGCACCACGTATCTTTTCTGCACATTTTGCATACTTCTGCAAATTAATTGTATGATAATTTCTTCTCAGTTGTATCGATTATTAAAAGGATATATGCATTTTGAATTTTTAAAGCTAATGCAAAATTGGCTTCCAAGAGTTTGAGTTAATTTACAACTGACAGTCTGTGAGAGTACTGCTGTTAATATCATTGAAATTCTTTAAAGGGTGTATAATTAACATTCAACATGACCTTTTCTTCTAACCTTCTGATTAATCATCTAATAAGAAATGTAATTATGCTCTAATGAATTGTGTCATAATAAAAAGTCTAATTGGAGGTTTTCTGTCTATGTCATTGCCCGCCCTCCCACCTTCCATCCCTTTGTTTTTTATTTTGGGGTGTGTGTGTGTGTGCGTGTGTGTGTGCGCGCGCGCATGTGTGTGCACACATGTGCACATGTCATTGCCCGCCCCCCCACCTTCCATCCCTTTGTTTTTTATTTTGGGGTGTGTGTGTGCACGTGCGCGTGTGTGTGCACACATGTGCACATGTCATTGCCCGCCCCCCCACCTTCCATCCCTTTGTTTTTTATTTTGGGGTGTGTGTGTGCATGTGCGCGTGTGTGTGCACACATGTGCACATGTCATTGCCCGCCCCCCCACCTTCCATCCCTTTGTTTTTTATTTTGGGGTGTGTGTGTGTGCGTGTGTGTGTGCACGCATGTGTGTGCACACACGTGCACATGCACCACTCCCATCAAAGTCCTTCTTTTCCATCTTTTAAATCTAGGTCCTGTTTATCTGAGGGATTTTCTGCTATCTCACTTTCTCTCTTGAAAGTAATTTCTCCAAGGTACAAATAGCGTGAGTGATTTTAATAGAAAAGAAAACAAATCATGCAAAACAGTCAGAGCACCCAAGTTTTAATGACAACACTACCATTAGCTAGTTAAATTATCCCAGAGAAAACACTTAAAATTTCTGGGCCTTGGTTTTCTAATCTGTACCACTAATAAGAGCTAATATTTATTGGACATCTACTATGTGCCAGACACTATTTTATTCTACTTACTCTTACAAAAATCTTGAGAGGGCTAGGTACTATTATTATGCTTGTTTCACTAATAAAGAAACTGAATGGCAATGGTATGGAGTGGCAAATGACTTGCCAGACATCCTGTAGCTAGTAGGTTCTGCGGTTTAGGAAATGAACCCAGGTAGTCAGAATTCAGACTTCTAATTTCTCATCTAAGCCTAAGTTTGTTCTTGCTCTAACATTCTGATTAGGTGTAGTTTCCCTTTTTCTATTGTATCCTCTCCCTACCCCTTCCAGATTTTGTTTTATTTTTAATAAAGATTCACTCTGTCCCCAAGGAACACGAAACAAAAAATACAAAAATAGAAGGTTAGGAGTAATGCTTTCTTAATAAAATAGGGAATGTGAAAAATAATTGAATTATTTTTACCCCATTTTGTAAACCAAAAATTCTGTCTAAGTTAAAAAGATACCTAATTTATGTAAGATCACTAGCAATAATAATAGCAAATAGTAATAGCAATAATAATAACAAATATGAAAATAAATGAAAAGAAACCCAGTCTTTTTCTCTACAATACATTCTAGAAAGACTGCTTTAGGGTGATGTTTTAGCTAATTTATTCATGTGAAACAGAGCTTTGTGTTTCGGAGACCTTCGAGCTAAGACTACATACAGAATCTATGATTTAATGTGTTTCTTGACACAAACCTCGTAGATGAACTTTCTTTCTATTTTCAATGACCTGAACATTTACTTTTATTTTCCTCCGTTTTTATGAATGATTTTTCCCCCATGCTTACTTTCTCCTTTTGTAGTACAGGGGCAAAAACCCAAACTCATTATCTGATTAGATTGAGCAGAGGGAGTGTGGTGGGTGGATATGTCATTTTGATTCATTGTAGTGCTTGTATTTTTGCCACATATATTAGCTGTTTACTGTAGCATCAATAATAATATCACCGTTAGATATACTGTAGAAGGTAATGGGAAAATACCTAGTACGATGAAAGATATCGTTTATAACACCAGCTAGTGCATATGCTTATATGTGTGTGGGGGTTGGGGTGTGTGTGTAGAGGTGGGATTGGGAGTCAAAGACTGGCCAGAACGTATGCATTTAAACTGCTCTGTTTAACTCAACCTTAAGGTGCTACATTAAATATTGTAATTATTGCGGATACCTACAAAGCAGCACATAATTAAATTGACAAACTGGACTATAAACAGTAATGAACAGGAGGCTAAAGAACTTGGAGTGGAAATTGATATTGAAGATGTGAATTTGTAGCATAAAATCTATAATATGTTTACCCTAGGGGGACATAACTTTGCTTCACTAGCTTAGCATTTGATGTGCGGTGCTCTGCCATCAACGAGTTGTTTATGAGAGGCTATTGAGGTATTAAAGGATAATATTTTTTGTGCCCATATGGATAGTATCAATGCCATTGGTTTTCACATTTTATTTTTAAACATAAGCAATACAAGGATACATTTTCATTATAAAAATCGACACAACATAAAATAATACAGAATCAAAAGTAAAAGTCTTCTCCAGCTCCCATCCCTATTTCTGTTTTCCAGAGGTCTTCTCTGTGTGTTTGTTTAGTGAGTGGAGGATACACACCAAACCAAGTCGGTGCTTCATATATAGTGTACATATATACAGATATATTTACTGCTATGTACAGCACTGTTTCTGATATTGGCCAAAATAGTTTCTCATCAGTGGCTTTGTATTCCTCTGTGTATACCTTGTTATGAGTTGTCATATAATGTAATAGAGGGATTATATATGGGAACCAGTCTTATTTCGATGTTGGCATAATCATAACATCACAAATGAATATGAGATCAAAGGGGAGGAGCAGGCTAAGTTTTCTTATAAAAAAGCATTCTTAAAATTTGCAGTATTGATAGCAAGTAAATCAATTTCAAGTAAATTTACCAATTATTATTTCACCTCTGCTGTATTTAATTTGATTTATAATATGCACATTTCTAATTGAATTAACTTCCAGGCAAAATAAGCAGCTGGGTACTGCATCAAATTGCAGTTTATATACTTTAAAAAAGTACTATATTAGCAGAGAGGCTCTTTTATGTTGATAATTATAGGCCTCTTTAAAAATGTGAATCATATTTTTGAGTTTATGCTTAGCTGTAGAATGATTTAATTTTTGATGACTCCCACCCTACTAAGCACTTAACAGGGTGATTTAATAAGCTGGTTTCTAGAATATCATACCCGAAATGGTGGTGAAGAGAACCAAGTTCTTTATTTCATAAATAGCTCTTTGCCAGGCTTCAGACTGATAGGATATACAAAATACTGTGTGGAGAAGTTGGCTTCATTTCTAATTGTAACTAAAAAGAGAATATTGTATAAAGGTTAAAATTACTTGATTGTATTTATTTTTTGACTTCTAAAAATGTCTGGGCCCTGATTTTCCTTTTCTCACTTTCCATTCTCCTGGTTAGTGATCCTATCTACTCGCATGATTTCAGTTGGCACCTGTGCATTAATCATTCTCAAAACTCCATCTCCAGCCTCCTCCTTTCTCCTGAGCACCAGATCCATATCTGACAGGGCACCTGCACTTGGGTATTACACAGGTATGTCAAATGCCATACGTCTAAACCTGAGTGCGTTATCTTTCCCCCAAACTTTCACGTTTTCAACCTCAGTGAATAATTTCATCAACCACACAGCACTCCCGAGTTGCCAGGGTGTCATTAATTCTGATTTACATCCTTTCTTAGCTCCACATCCAGTTGATCACCATGTCCTCCTGATTTTACCACCTAGAGATCTGAATTGGTTCACTTCTTTGTAGCTTCTCAACCACTACTGTGCATGTTACCATGATTTCTTTCCTGGAATAGCTGCAGTCTTTTACTCTTGCCAGCTTCTTTTCTGTTTTCTACATAGGAGCCAGAGTGATTATTTTATTTTAGAACATAAGCACAATTGGTCACTGAGCAGCTTAAAATCCTGGGCCACTTAAAACCTTCAGAATGGAATTCAAACTTGAGGACTTTGTCAGGCTTTTACTTCTGGGCCTTTGACTGTGTAAGTCCTTGGGCCTGGACCCAGACCTTTCCCCGTAACTACTGAACTCCTGTTTATACTTTAGAACTCAGATTAAATGTTGCTCCCTTTCCTAAACCCCTGAGACTAGTTTGTGTCCCTCCTTTATTATACAGAAATTTGATTATCTTAAGTATTGGCTTAATTGCAGGTTTGTACAGTTAGATGGTCAAGCTCCTTGAGGGTATGCTTTGTACATTGTTCACTGCTGCAGATGTAGCAGCATTTGTTGAGTGAATGAATGAATGCATTCATTAGTGATACTTGGTTGGAATTAGATTGTAAAAAATTACATTATCTCTAAATAATCTGTAATATTTATTTTTAATTGAAATATAA